CATGATAGAGATAGCTGAATTTAAGTATCTCTTATATTCATGCAAAATTACATAGTTCTTTTTGATTTTGGATTTCCCCACTTTCTTGGAAAACATAAAAAGCGTAAATAAATAACATGGCCCATTAGGAACCCTGAAATATACATTATGGAAACTATACTGTATGATACCAGGATGATTTCCTGCCTTGCTTCCAGTTTTTTAAATAAGTGTGTCATGACTTTTGTGTTACCTGTTGGGCCCTTGGAGACTGAGCAGTATGGTGAGGTAGATTTAAGCAGTATTCCAAAACTAGGAACAGATAACTTCTCAGGAGAAAAAAAAACTTAACTACAAATCAGCCTCTGATGATCAGAAGAGGAAGGCAGCTGAAAGTAACTTTGGTAAGCAGTTGTAGACTCTGATTTCAGCTGACTAGATGGCTGTAGAAGTTGCTTTTTGGGATGACTGGCATTAGCATGATATTTTGAACAGTTTTGTGGAAATAAAGCATAGTTTTAAAGCAGACACTTAAAAATTAATCAAGCTACTGCACTTTGTTTTAACCCAAAATGGACTGAGCTTGTTATGGTTCAGTGATGTTTACATTCTAAAGGGTTATATTTAGCTCCTTACAACTTTGCTAAGCTTTTTACTTTTAAATTTGAAATGTGGTTATAGTTGTCCTCTACAAAAACCTGAGCTTTTGTTTTTCATAACATTGTTATAAAGTAAGGTCAGCAACTCTTGAGATTTTTACATTATAATTACTTTCTGTAACTTTTTTCAAGGTCTCTTTTTTTAAATCTTTTTCCTTTTTTTTTTCATTCATCAGAAAAAAATAACATTAAGTTCTCTGTGATATTTCTGAAGTTCATGTATAAGCACAGAAATAGTATAATATAAATAGAAGTCACTTTCACAGTCCGTGTGTACTTATGGATGTATATGCATGCAAAACAATGAATTTTTAAAAGTTGAATGACTTGCTGAAAGGCAGTCTGCAATACAGGTGAGATGTATGATGGGTTGTTAGTCCTCCCAATCTTGAACTTTTATTTCATGGCTCCCACTGGCAATTGTTTATGAGGAAGCTGTAAGAAACCTGTATCAACTGAAACTTTTCATCATATGTTGGCTAACTCTTAGAGAACTGTTCCATTTAAAATCGATATACTAAAATACTACTTTTATTTTTATGTGTGTTTGAATGCTTTATTTTCACTCTTTTATTTTTTCTGCTTTGCCTTTAAATACCCAACTTCTAGACAATATCTGAACTCCATGTTGTAAGTACAGTATATCTATAAATTGTTTTGTAGTAGCTACTTTTAATTTCTTCATTCACTGTGTGGTGGTCTATATTGGTACCTTGCTTGTCACTAAAGAAGAATTATTTAATGGAATTTCTTTTTTTGTGTGTGTAGGGTGTGCAAGAGCGAGATGCTCAGATCAGATTGCTTACTGAGCAAGTTGAACAGTATACCAAAGAAATGGAACAAAATGCGTTTGTTATTGAGGAATTAAAAAATGATCTCCAAAAAGATAAAGGTAATATCACCATTTTATTTTAATATCTATAGAAAGGAAAATAAGAAACTATACATTACTCTGTGTATTCTTTATTCTCTAGAAATACAGAAAAAAATATTTGCAGTATTTGAGTAATATCAGTCTCTAATTTTTTTTGTTCACTTCCATTTATAAGTATTCATCAATAGTTTAAATTTATTCACAGTACTTCAGTGGAGTTTTGGGGTAATACAGTGCCTAATAAAGCTATACCTGGTCTGTAAAGGTTTGAGCATAACAAGTCCCTTATCACAGAATCATTAAGGTTGGAAAAGACCTTTAAGATCATCAAGTTCAACCATCAACACAACACCACCATGCTCGCTAAACCATGTCCTGAAGTGCCATGTCTACATGTTTTTTGAACGCTTCCAGTGATGGTGACTCCACCACCTCCCTGGGCAGCCTGTTCCAATGATTGACCACTCTCTCCATAAAGAAATTCTCCTAATATCCAGTCTAAACCTCCCCTGGCGCAACTTGAGGCCATTTCCTCTCGTTCTATCGCTAGTCACGTGGGAGAAGAGACCAACACCCACCTCACCACACCCCCCTTTCAGGTAGTTGTAGAGAGCAATGAGGTCTCCCCTCAGCCTCCTCTTCTCCAGACTGAACAACCCCAGTTCCCTCAGCCGCTCCTTATAAGACTTGTGCTCCAGACCCCTCACCAGCTTTGCTGCCCTTCTCTGGACACACTCCAGTGCCTCGATGTACTTCTTGTAGTGAGGAGCCCAAAACTGAACA